TGAGCACATGGAAATTCCCTCCAATATATGTACCCTATCCCAGCATGCAACACTGGTTGAGAGAAACCCAGGAATTTGCTGGTGAACGGCACACACACACTCACAGTGCCCCTCATTGGCCATCCCACACTACAGTAGAGTCACACTCCACCCAGGTAGGTACAACCAATGCTAGACACCTGGAATTAGCCAGATAAATGGCAACTATAATCCAGCCAAACTGACTACAGCTCTGGCAATCACTAACCTTCTAGTAGCCACCTCACAAAAGGTGATGGGGACTACAACAAAATAGCTGATTTAGGAAAATGCTCCAATTCAGCTCACTTTCCAGTTCAGCTATGTTGTCCTAGATTGTTCACTCCTCCTGCCTTCTCTAAACTTCACCCTGTATATATCATTTTCCATGTTGAAGACAACTGCATAATGCAAATTGTGGGTAAAGGACCCCTGTATGCTGGGCCATTGTATTAAAGGATTTAGAAACCCCCCTTAACACCTTATAAGTCAGCGCATTACTTTTTATGAGCGGATATATTCATCCATTAGCCAGTATGGATTAAGTGGCCCAGTAAGTATATTTCTTGATGTCAGAAATATGCAGCAGATAAGGTCTAACCACTTTAGCCCCTGTAATAAAAGAATCACTTTGCAATGTGTTTGTGTTCTCAGTTATAAATGTGTCACTTCCTTCCCCACTCACAGGCCACCCACGAGCTCAATAACTTATTTTTATGTTCTTCAAACCATCAGTGAAGAGTGTGGGAGAATGGCATTATTAGATTATTAGCTGAGCATTCCAATATCTAGCATTTGTTATATATTGTGTTGTTTACTGGTGGCGAGATGGCATTATCGAAATGCCATGATGTGTAGTGTGTTGTGTAGGGGCAGCTGCAGCTCATCGCCATGTGAAAACTGCTCAGTATGCTCCGTAATGGCTGCATGAATGCAATGTATTATTCATGTTATACAATCCCCTTCACTGGCACTAGCACTGACAGTCTAAAAGAAAACACAATTAGATGTGAAAGAATAACAGACCACCATCTCATCACGCAGACATTCACAGTTTGGGCCAAGGAAGAGTATTGCTTTCAGGAAAGACTGTGGTAGGTTTCAGAACCAGAATTCTGCGGCTACAGTGATTTTTGTAATGAAATAAAAGGATAAAACTTTTTGTTTGAAATCTACACTGACATCCAGTGGTATTTCATGTTCATTTTCTTCTTTATTCTCTGCTAATTTAATTGTTTTTTTTTCTTCTGTATTAGCTAAAGAAATAAAAGGAATCAAAGCATTCTTGGACAATATAGCTTGCTAGTAATGTTTTACGAATATGAAACAATGAATGGATTGTTTTGTAAGGTTAGGTCTAAATTGAGGAAGCAGAGAGAGTTGGTGTTGCTTGCCAGACAATGGTATGTGCATAGACCTCCGGAGAACATAATGATTACTGGCAAGCACATTTATTGATTGACAGGATTTTGCATTTCCTGCCAACCCTGCTGCACAATGATGATTGGAGAATATAGGAAGAAGAAGGGTGAACGAGCAACATTTCGTTACTCTTAAAGTATATTTCTAATGTTACAGTCATATTCCAGAAACCCCCACTACATGTTTGGTATGTGTTCTCATTCACACAGTATACCTAAAAATAACTTTTCAATAAATATGACTTACCTTTTAGATATTTATTTGGTGAATGCCTTTATGCAGATTCAAGGCTACTTTGAGCAGTTTGAAAGTGAAAAGTAGAGGGACAAACTGAGGGACAGACTGAGCTTCCTGTTATTAACATACAATGCTTCTAAGTGTAATCCTTGTTAGGACAGACCGTGTTCAAATCTCGTTTACAACTGATAATGAAATCTGCTAGTCCAGTTCAGACAGGGTTAATTGGAGTAAACATAATTTCCCACAGTCATCTCCATAGCATTACATAGGGGGGGGACACCTAGGTAGGATTCTTGAGCAAGTAAAAAGCACTTACAAATGCAAGTAGCATATGGTATGTGAATTGGAAAAAAGTATAACAAAATATAAAGTGGAAATGCACTTTAAATGATTTGTTAATTAATTATTTACACACAATGTTATATACATAGCAAATAGACACTAAATAGCATGAGACTATTCAGAGCCAATCAGACTGTTGCATGATGGGCAATTTTATGAGGGGTGCTTAGAGGCACAGTCAGCATGCCAATAAATGGGTTATGTAAATCATGTACATATATACCTGCCAAGTTAATGGCAACCTAAAACAGACGTGAAAATAATTAAGGTGTATTTAAATCCAGCGCTTTTTCATACTATTGGACAGAGTAGGAAGTGGGGATGCTAATCTGGTGACAATAAAGGAGGGATTTTCTGTTACTTCCCAATTTGTCTCCAGAACAGCAAGTGAATGAAAATCACCCCAAAGGTTGCAGACTGCACATATTGTCCACTGTCATACCCTCAGCAATTCTCTGCTGTACTTGGTTGCCATCACACCTTCTGGCACTCCTCTCCTGCACATACTACCTTCCATCTTACCCATTGCTTACCTCTCCTGCAGTTACTGCCTGCCACAACACATCTTTACCTTGCTCATAATATCCCCAACCTTGCCCATTTTGAAACGGGCATACTTTTGCTATTTTATTCAATGTTCAAATAAACATTAAAACTTCTACCTCAGCGCAAAATTCCCCTGGGAGAGCTGTATTGCACTGATCACAGTGGAAGGTGAAATTTGACATCGTAGTGGAAAGGCGGTTAACAAAGCAGTGATTACTAAGCGCAGATCTGTCATGAAAATATGCTTCTTGCTGCTGAATTCATGATTAGGAGAGAAGCAGTCATATTTTTGCACTTTACAGAACATTTATGTATGTATGTATTCATGTATAAATAAATACAGATTGTCCTCATTTTAAACAAGGTTTATGTTCTGTAACCCTCTATGTAGGCCTGGACTTTTAGAAGTTAGGGGTTTAGCTGAATTTTGCATGCTAGATACATTAAAAGTACTGATTGGCTGTGATTGTCTGCTTAATAATATCTATTAATGGGTAAAAAAGCAACTATTTTACTGGAGGCCGATAAACTGCACAGGTTTTACATTAATGATGTATAACATACAAAGAAATCCTGAAAATTACATACTTTGTAACATTCATAAAATACCTTTAGATTCCTGGTAAAAAAATAAAATCCAGCTAAGCATACCTGTCATCTACACATAGAATGAAATCCAGCTAAACATACCTGTCGTCTACACATAGAATGAAATCCAGCTAAACATACCTGTCGTCTACACATTGAATGAAATCCAGCTAAACATACCTGTCGTCTACACACATCACACCTACCGTGTTTCCCCGGTAGACACTTAGATTCCTGGTAAAAAAATAAAATCCAGCTAAACATACCATCTTTCCTGCAAGCTCCCCCTCACATGCTACCACCAAACTAGGTCTTATTTTCGGGGTAGGTCTTATATTACAGGAATCTTGAAAAATAGTGCTAGGTCTTACTTTCGGGGTAGGTCTTATTTTCAGGGAAACGGTATATCTGTAAAGAAACCTGCTACCAGGGCTTATGCCTATAGATGACAGAGAGCGCTGAGAGAGTGGGGATCAAGTAAGTAAAACCAGGGCCATCTTTAATATTAATTGGACCCTGGGCAAGATTCTGCTGATGGGCCCCCCACAACCCTCCCGCATCCATCACCCGCCCCCATACCCCAGGTAGATTTTACAGATTCTACCTGTCCTTGTCCTGTGCCTAGTTGTTCCCTCCGCCTTCTTTTCCTCGGCGCCTGCCAGATCTATGTGAGAGGCATCGGGGTGGAGACCACTCCACAGTAGGAGGCACACAGACCGGCACAGTCAAGTCGCTTGCTGGAAACCGCTACTAGAGGAGAATCGGTGTCTGGTTTCCCCAACGACGGTGCTGCTGCTCTTTTTCTGTCTGCCGCTCCGGGCAAAAGGGACGGCTGCTGTGGGCCCCTGTAAATTATGGGGCCCAGGGCAATTGCCCCTTTTGCCCTGCAGTAAAGACGGCCCTGAGTAAAACTGCTTTACAGAATCCCCCTAGACATAAATGAACAGATAACCCTCACAGTACGGGACTACCCCACTGCAAGGGTAGTTTTGTTTTCATACCTGGAGAAAGGACTTAGGACTACGTTGGGGTTTTTCATGCTGTACGTTTTCAGTGTACTTACACACATTCTACCTGTGTCATCATTCCTCCATGTGCATAGTGGAAACTGATGCAGCTAGGAAGATTCTTTTTACACACACGACAATAAAACACAAGTGAATGAAGCCTAAATAAATAATCCTGTTCTACAATATGAATGAATTAATATGGCTTTGCATTAGAAGTCCTGAAAGTGTGTTAATGTATTTTGACTTTTTTAGAATAATAGATTTTGTTTATGTTGGGGGGAATAGTCAGAAACCAGTGTGTGAATGTGAGAGTGTGTGAAATAAACAAGTCCACACGGAAGCTTGTTGTTTCAGGGCCCATTTGCCCTAGGTTGTAGTGTTTTCCTGTGCGGTCTGGTGTCTGCTGTGTACAGGCAGATGGGAAGGGGCTTTAATAATGTAATTACTTATGATGTTAATTGTGAATGTGAACAATATGCAATCCATCATTTACTGCATATGGATGGCATATTATTAACGGTCACAATTAAGCATTAAAACAAAATACTTTGTGAATAAGTGCCTGGTTCCTCGTTAAATCGGCAAATCAGACTGGGTCGTCATCGTTGACACAACACCTGCTCTGTCTGGTGGTAATCCGCAATGTTCTTTCTGAAAAACGCAGGTCACCGCATAGTGTGAATGAGTCCTTCATATTCAAATTAATTGTTGACCTTTTTATTTTGGTTTGACCTAACAATATTAATTAAATAAAATTGTATATATATATATATATACATACACACATAAATAAATCTGCTGATAAGTTCTGGTTCTTTATGTTCTTTGTTATAGGAACTCATGATCGTTTTCCAACTTCTGCACTGGAACGGAAGTCTTAAAGCCCTCAGAGACACAAAGTGCTCCCGTCAGGTAAGAATACATGATATAATGTATGTATACATTTAATCTGCAGACTTTTACCTCAAATGCATCTAGAATGCATGATTTGAAATCCCAGCGCTTTACTGAGAAGCATCTGTAGTTGGTACATTAGAACTATTTTGGATGTCATTATTTTCCTCTTTGTTATGTTTTAGTATATCTTCTCATATATACTTTGTGACACTTTAACAAATGATGAAATGGCTGAAAACTCCACACCCGGGCTAATCTGTGAAGTGTGTGATGGTGCTGTTATAGATTAATGTAGGTCTATGCTTAAAGAGGACCTTTTCCCCCCTTTCCTTATTAAGCTTGACAAAAATAATCAAGCATCTGTAAAAAGCAAAAACCTATAAAATAATTATAGTTACTTGCTCCTTTCTTCTTTTTTTTCACCTACTCTGAATGGTCCATTCACCTCGGGTCGCCGCCATTTTTGACAAAAAGTAATTGGTAGCTTATTCTTCCTTATTCTCTGTGCTGGCCCACCATTGACATGTGTGGTAGATCTTCCAAATGCTCTGAACACGATCAAGCTCAGTTTGTTATTGTTATATCTCATTTGTAAAAAAGAAAAATGATTTGATGTTAAATATGGCCTAAAAGTATTTCTAGATCAGCATGTAGAGATGAATGCACCTGGTCTTTTTTAGGTTTTTATAAAGGTGTATGTATTTTGATCACTTGCCGTGTATATACACCTTCTTTTGTTAGCTGTATTTATGTTTTTCTAAATGATTAAAGAATATGCAAATCTTTGCTTCTCTTATTTCATCCCTTTTGTTCTGTTAAATATACCTGTTGTTCCTGCCAGAGATCCAGTGCTGTCCTGTGCACTTCACAATGTTATCCTAAACAATGTTATCAGTAAGTGTGTTAAGACTACAGAACACATCCTCCTTATGTAATGAAGAAGAGAGGGGGATGTGTGCTTTAGTCCTAATATACTTTTTGCACTAGGGTGACAACACTCCTACTCCATGGATATCGTTTGGTAAGTAATTGTTGTCACTCTAGGGCAGGGGTAACTTGGCCCTCCAGCTGTTGTGGAACTACAAGGCCCATAAGGCATTGCAAGTATCTGACAGCCACAAGCACAGCTTCCAGAGGCAGATGCATGATGGGATTTGTAGTTTCACCAAAGCGGGAGGATCGAAGTTTGGCTACCCTGTCGTAGGGCATTAAGGGTATTACTGTCATGCATTTATATTTATTTATGTATGTATGTATATTATATAAAGTATATTATTTATACTTTGTGAGGTGCTCATCTGCAACAAGAATACAGATCAGGAATTTTGACTTCAATCTAACTTTGTAATCTGGAGGCTTCTTCCAGGTCAGTGACTCAAAGTATTAAAGTCAGGGACAGCCAGACAACTGCATTATTAGCAGGAGGCCAGCAGTGACAGAACACTTTTCATTTATTTCATTGCCTTCATTTATACAGGTTCATATGTATAAATGAAGGCAAAAAACAAATTTGGAACATACCACATTATGGCCACAAGATGGAGCCGGGGAGCATAGGAATTAAGTATTTATTTCCTATGCTCATCAGCTCAATCTAGTGGCCATAATGTTGTATTTTCTTAAAGCGGACCTATACATTATGGGGGTCTAAACACCTGGTCTTGAAGTGGTTAATAATAACATTATGTGACATGCCAGGTGTAAAATGCTGTGATCTTGAAATACTTAGACTTGCAGAACATTCACTCCCTGCCTTGAAAGGGCAAAATTACTTCAGTTTGCAAAAGCGATGCACACTGGGATTGCCTTGTCATCAGCAAAGCATTGCCTCCCCTGACCGCACATCCCTGATTCAGACCTGTACAGTGAATGTATTGTACTATGATGAATATATCTAACTAAATTAAAGCAATCTGAACCCCAAACTATTTCCCTTCGTTTTGGATCGAGTTTGCAAAGGTTACAACCTCTATTACGTCTGGTTCCCTCTTTGGAGATTCACCCTCTCCATTTGACTTGGTGACCACTGTCAGTGGAACAGTATTTTATCTGTAATCTCAGGAGATCTCAGGGAAAGGCATTTTACTCTCCTGAGATGATGTGCATGGTCACATGTCCTAGTCACATGTCTAGTCACATGTGCCAGAGTTCAAGGAAGTAAGAGGAGAGCTAGAAAATCTGCTCTTAGTAAACATGGTCATTGTCAGAAGACTGGGAAAGAAAAGAGAAATAAGGTATGTAAAGAATACAAAGCCGGCAATTATCTAGAAGTATGTTTGTAGATTGTCATTACTAAATATTTCTAAAGGTGTGTTTGTTGTTATTTTAAATATATGAGTAAAGGTCCACTTTAAATATTACATTTGACCTGAAAAGAAAATATATTAGAACGTTCCTTTTTACCTCCATTTATACAGGATAAATGTTGACAGAGATACACGGGGCAAATGACTCTGTAAATTATTTATAAATAGACTCCAGATAGTCTCTCCTACCATACATACCTACCAAAAAAACTTTGGTTCTGCTATAAGTGTATTATTGCAAAGAGGTGAACGATAGTTTTGTTGTTATTAGGGTCTTTAGAAATAAATGCAAGTTGCTACAACTTCTATACGGGTTTAATCAATAATATGTCACAATGCACTTAGATATCCCTGAAACGATGGACAAAGTCCCGCCTCCAACCCATCCCCAAGCTAGTGTAAAGGAGGAAGGGAGGAGCCACACTGTCCCTCACTGGCTCCTCACAGCTGAGGCGCTCCGTCCATGACAAGTTACACAGCGGGGAGGATTTCCCTGCTCTCTAACCTGTTAGATGTGGATCTGAATGGAGAAAAAGCTGTCAGCTTCCGACCTCCCCTGGCCGCACGTCCCTGATTCAGACCTATACAGTGAATGTATTGTACTATGATGAATATATCTAACTAAATTAAAGCAATCTGAACCACAAACTATTTCCCTTCGTTTTGGATCGAGTTTGGAAAGGTTACAACCTCTATTACGTCTGGTTCCCTCTTGGGAGATTCGCCCTCTCTATCTGACTTGGTGACCACTGTCAGTGGAACAGAAAGTGCTGGAAAGTCCAAATGTTTTGGGCTGTCACCAAAATGGATATAGAGGGAAGGTATTTCAACAGTGACACCTTTTTCAGGGGTTTCTTTTCACTTCATATTGTGTCTTTGAGATAGGAAGTGAAGGGGCAGCAAAAAAAGAAAGAATGATAGGGTTTTAACTCTTTCCTACTCATAATAAAACTATATTTTCATTATCATATTTAGTGCTATCAATTTAATGGTTACCACATCCTATTTTATCCACTAAAAAATAAAGCAGTAAAAACATGCCGGACTTTTCAGGTACCCCAGAAATGAGCTAGACATATGCCAGTATATAAAATCACAAATGTTTATTTAATTGCTTAAAATTTTCAAAATATCCCTGTTATGATATACTTATATTAAAAACATAAGAAGCCACCACAGGGTCAAGTAGCAGAGGAAACGTGGTGACCTGCTTCTGATTCTGAAGTGGAACTTGAGACTTGACTTGAAGTGGAAGTTACTGTATATTGGCTGTTTAGTATCATAAGGTGTCCCTCCGTTATTTCCTAACCACCACCAAGGGTGGGCCGGGAGCCCCCACAAAATCGTGCTGGGAGGAAAATATGCCATGTTTTATAATATTTGTAGCTCTCTCCTGAGGAAGCAGGTTTTACCATGAAATGGGTAGAGACATCTTCTCAAAGAATAAGTCTTGTCAAGCACATTGCAACAATGGAAGATACTCCTCCTATGTTGGAAGGATGTTGATGGTAGAATATACCTATTAAAAAGTTTATAATAACGATGAATGTGAAGTTGGGGCTAAATCTTTTTATGCTTTTAATATATGTACCTCATACATATAAGGATATTTTGAATATTTTAAGCAATGAAATAAACATTTGTGATATTATACTGGCACATGTCTAGCTCATTTCTGGGGTGCCTGAAAAGTTCAGCATGTTTTTTCTGTTTGATTTTTGAGTAAATAAATCTATAGCTAAAGGTCAAGGTAAGTATCTCTGTCTGCTTGAAATTTTCTTTAAAAAAAAAAATACTGAAAAGAGTACTGAACAGGGGTGTTAGTGGGGACAATATTTTTTAATTCGCCAGAGTTCTGCTTTTGGGCTTCCACAATGCTTGAAAGCACATGACCTATTATTTCTGTTTGATGGGAAATCTCACAAACAATCAAACATTGTAGATTACTGCAAAAACATGTTTTTTAATGACGTGGTTAGATTTCCACTTTAATGCTTAGCATATCATTAGAGCTTGTTCTCAATTAGTCTTATGGGGGGATGGTTTGTAATCACTTGGCATGTGTTTCTGGCCCTTGCCAAATGGCAGATTTAAAAGTGTGTTCTGAGCTGAATTGCTTAGTTAACACGTCCCTGTTGAGGGGCAGTCCATTTTAGTCTAGTGCAGTGAATGCGGCTTGAAGCATTAAGATCATGGCTATTATTTCCCGTGGCTTCTCCTGTTGGGCCCCTGCTGTGAAAGTAGTTGAGCTTTGGACAGAACATTTCCTAAATAACAGATTGCACTCGATCCAATATCAATTGTGCCCCACAACAGCCTATTAAAATCAAACATTTATTGTACAACTGTCATACTGTCATTTTCATTTAATGGTTGAAGCTGCTATGGGACACGAACAGGTCTCATTTAGCCATTTTTGAGGTCAGCATAGGACACGAATAATATAATAGGCTTGAGAAAGAGCCAAAAAAAAAGAGTAAAAGAAAGGCTGAAATACCTTTCCTGAAGAAAATGCAATTCCAGGACCTCTCCTGTACTTGCCATGTGACTAGAAGCATTGGCATTTGGTCATGTTTTCTTTGACTTGACAAGAACAATACTTCAACTTAAGTAGTTCTTGAAAATGCAACAATTTATCAACTGTTATATCTTTCGTCTACCTGTACAGAAAAGTAACAGGGCTTTAAGGGAACACATACTCAGATGTTA